TTATTGAGCGGTGTAACACTTAATAAAAGTTACACCGGTATCGTTTGAACTCTCCTCTATATTATATATATATATATATATATATATATAAGTAAAATAATTGAACTAATATAAACATGATATATACATGTATACAGTAATCTCACATAATCTTATGTCCTAGTAGCAATCGAGTACATATATACAAGCTATATGCAGTAGCATCACCATCAACAAAAGATCACATCATCTGTTCGTAGTAGCTTCTCAAGCCTAATCCTGATCAACTTCCATACATTGTATAATCATCGTAGTTCAAACTACCATGAAAACAAATTAAAAAAGGTAAGTTAGAGTTCAAAAACATGTACATATAGAAAATAATATTATAATATACAATATTACACCACAACCATACATAAAAGCTACAACACTCCAAGCACACATGTATCTCACCTAAATCATGTCACACAAGACATCAACAATGCATATGGACAAACCTAAACACTTATGCAAACATATCAACTAATGCGTCGTCATACATTCATCTACGGAGATTTCTTAACAACATGAGCAGTCTAAGTGATTTTCACCCTATCGAATCAATACAATTATCTTTACCCCCAAAGCACTGACTCGATCACAATAAAATGGGATATCAATCCCTCTTCTAATTTCTCGAGTGTCATCATTTATACTAGAAAAGTTCGATTCCACAATTAGGAATGGTACAACTGGGTATATGCATACCATGATCTTGACATGCATTACCAAGTCACATATGAAGTTAGATATCCTCAAGGAACTACACAGCTTTTCTAGGTAGTTTGTTAAGGGTTGTATTCCATCAACCTCCTATCTTACTCAGTCACTAACTAAGGACCTAGAGGAGACTCAATTTGTCTCAAAAATCCACTTCAAGAGACACACCTACTCAAGGAGGGTTTTTCCATAGTGGCTTACCCAAACACCATTCCAAGATGCCCTATGTGGGATCTTAAATTTTCAAAATAATTTTATCTCCTCAAGTTTTAAGTTATCCAACATGCTTTAATGTCACACTGTATTCTCAACATTTACACCTCATCATACATATACAATATACATCATATCCAATCAATGCATATAGAGATCAACAATATTAATCATGTATAACATAACAATGTTTAACACCTTAACCAATAATAACATACCAATACTTAACGCTTCATCTAAGTATAACATATCAATGCTCAATAATTTATTTAATAATAACATAACAATGCTTAATAATTCATTCAATAATAACATAACAATGATAAACAATTCATTCAATAATAGCATATCAATGCTTATTCAATATTCCAACCATGAAGTTTATAGCATATTAATCATACATAGTATATCAATGCTAAACAACCTAATCCTAATAGCATATCAATGCTTGTCATCATCATCATCATACATCATACCATATGTATCAACATGCAACTAACTAAAATCAACTATAGTACAAAGACAACTTTCACATAACTTAACACAATTGGAGTTACACTAGTCCAATTAAACTCATATTTATCTCATATAAAAGATAAGAAGATCTACAACTCTTATGAAGACCCCAAGTTCTAACTGCATCATTTACTATAGTGAAAATCACAAAAATTGTAACAATTTGCCTAAATGCTGACAACTTGACCCTTACTCACTAAAAAAGTCATAATTGGAGTTATAAACCTCCTTTTTAGGTGATTCCAAAGCCATAGGAAAGCTAATATCTAGCGCTACAACTTTTATGAAGACAATAAAGTGTAACTCGAAAAATACCAAACCACTCAACTGTTTCAGAATCGCATAGTGGATTTCTTCCAGAAACACTTAATTTTGATATGCAAATTCCCTTAGCTGTTTGTTTCCAGAGACACCTCCATTTCTCATTTTTAATTTCGCCCAGCCATCTCATGACATAGACCATCTCTATTTTTTGCGATTTTGAGGTTTTCAAACCTCTCCATTCCATCCCGAGCCTCCTACAAGTTCCAATCTCAAATCTAAACTATAAAAACTCATCTAAACAATTAGAATACATCAATTTCCAACAACAAAACAACTCATAACAAGAATTTAGGTACAAAATCAAGGTTTTCCCCCAAAAACCCCGAATACCATAAAATCTTCAAGAAACTAAGAACATCAAGTCTTCTTGCAACAAGTTATCATTTAAACAATTATGCATCAATGAGCATTTATACGATGCATGCAACATGATAATCCATACAATCATCCACCAAGATCAAATTCTAACTTCCCTTACCTCAATTTTGAGTTAAACCAAGAAAGGAGAAGGAGAAGAAAGGAGAACCCTGAGCTTCCAATCTCTGCATCGCCTTAACCCTTTGATTCTTAACTTAAGCTTCGAATCCGATACTCCTCACCACAAATCTAACCCTCCAGAAGAACCTAGAAAGAAGGGAAGGAGAACCAAAGCTTCTCTATCTAGATCTCTCTCTAAGGTTTCTAAAAAACAAGAGATTATGACCTCTGTTCAAAGCAGAAACCTTATATATTTTTTCTTCTAAGGTCAACTGAATCTCTGACTAGAGATCCTCATAACATACCCAATGTTACAACATTTGTTTAAAAGAAAATTCTTAAAAATGTTCTTATCGAATAAAAATAGCTAAAAACATTTTTGTTGAATAATAGTTTTTTAAAAACACTCTCTTTCAAAATAATTATTTTAATTTATACTATTTGATAAGAGCGATATGTTCTTTTGGTATACACATTCTATTGACCATTTTACCTTAACTTTTAAATCACTATTTTCTCTTCCATACTTTTTTATTTAGCTTTTTTTTTCACTTTTTCATAATTTTATTTTTTAAATATTTTACACCTTTTAAATAACTACTCAAAACCGCTCATATTATTTAATTATTAATTACTCACACATATTTAACATATCAACTATTTTTATTATTTATTTTAATTTTATATTTTATATAAAGTTTACAGAGACACAAATTATTATTTTAGACTAACTTATATAACGAGGATTGTTAAAATATAAAATCATTATAAAAGTGTATTAAATATAAAATGATTCTATTTTTTTTAAAAACTGATTATATAACTAGTTTTAAAAATATAACTGATTATATAACGGATTATTAAAAATTTAAAACCAAATATTCTAAATCATAACTAGTTATTAAAAATTGATTATGATTAAGTTTTAATAAGTACTTATAAATTAAATATAAAATAGATATAGTTATAAAATGATTATGATTGGCTTATTTAGATTATTTAAATAATTTAACCATGAGCGCTGCTAATTGCTTAATACTCGGGATTGACGCTACGCTTTTGTGTACATGTACAACTCTGTTTTCTTGTAATGTCACCCTCACACATAACCAAGTTTTTTAGTTTACAAAAATAATTAGTAAAATTCGATTATGTCAAGTAAGGATTAACTAGGGCCATAGTCGTTCGAGATCATGGGATAATTTCTCCCAAACAAGAGAAGAAAGAACATCAAGAATGCTTAATTGAAAAAGTTTTTTAAAAAATGACACTTTCCCTTTCTCAGTTGCTTATTCTAATTTATAAGAAATTGATTTTCCCGTAATATAAAATATTAACAATTTTTTCCTACTGAAATGTTAAATATCCTTCAAATCAATGGCTTTCCTTCAGGTGGGGTGACTGATACAAGAATCAAGATTAGTGGTTTATTGTGCGTCCGATCACTTGGTAGAAAAGAATCAATCAATAAAAATATACAATATGGCTGTGACATGCAGTCCACTAATTAATAATTACAATACGCAGCCCGTTGCACATACTATACCGAAGCGTAGATGATTCAAAGAGATTTGGGGGGCAAGGTACGACCCTTTTATGCCAGCAATGCAATTCATCCCTCTCTTCTCTGAGAGGGTCCTTATTTCACGTGAAAATTAATGATAAACTATTAGGTTATTCAAGATTAGTAAGTGTTTACTATCTCAACCGATCACTATATAACATATATTTAAGTTTTTAATTTATAATTTTTTTTAATAATACTTAAGTACATGTTATATAGAGATTAATTAGTTAGAAATTATGTGATGAAGAATTAACTAATAATTCTCAAAATTAAAAGGGTATGGTTTTATGTAGTTAGAGCATCAGGAAGGTTTGACCGGGAGCCAAGTACCTTGCCACCTACATCTGGGAAAGACTCATGTCCAGGTAATGACTTAATTTTCCCATTGGCATCTATAGACACAGGATATTTTAAAAGGTGCCCTTGCAATGGAGTAAATTCATAAGATGTGTACTTTTTCCAATTGTCCTCAGCAATCTTGTTCACGCTATTCACGCAATCCAAACTTTCAGGATCCTTAAAGCAAGCTTGTATGGTCCCCATGTGTTCTGCCCACAAAGACATTCTATACCCGTATACCTGCAAATATGAAATAATACCTTAATCAAATCCTCCACAAAAGATATCGGGCGTAAAAAGGCTAAGCAAAAACTATGTAGTTAAATTTAGAGTATTACTGAATGAATTGTTCTACAGACCTGACCATGTGGATGTCCCCTTTTCTCACTCCATGTATGATGGGGTTGATATGCACCCATTGCTATCTCAGTATCTCTGGATCCAGCCATAGATCGTTGGTTGATATTGGCAGACCCAAGAATCACATATTCATCATCCACAATCATTCCTTTCGCATGTACATAAATCATAAACCGTTGGAACTTTTGTGAGGCTGAAACCTGAAGATCATTATAGAAAGATGTTGATGTTATTAAACATAAAATAAGAATATTAATCCTGAACTACATTTCTACCAACAAGTAAATTGGTCATTACTTCACATTCATACTAGACACAACTCCATGTGAAGTTAAAATTGACCAACTATTTGAACTTGAAGATCCAAGAGACATAAGCCCATGGAAATAATTACGGCCTTCAATCCTTTTCCTTCCATTAATAATGCGCAAAATGTTTTGAATGATTACCGTTTCGCCATTATCTGAAGGTGTATTATTTGAACTCGGAAAGATAGTTGTTGACTTCTCTCGGTTTCCAAGACAGTAAAAATTGAGATAATCTTGTGGATGTCTATCGTCTAGCTGCATATATTTTAACTCCCGAGCTATGACTTCATACATCATTTGCATAGTTTGTCCCTGAAAATGTGAATTCCTTTTTTTAATTAATAAACATATCACTTGCAATATTTTCAAATATTTTCCCTACCCTAAATATTACCTGCCAAAAGAGTATTGAAATATTTCAAAATATTTCCCCTACACTATATATTACCTGCCAAAAGAGTATCTCTTGCACAGAAGCAGAAGAAGGGACCCCTTCGGGCCACATTGGAATGACAATATAAACTGTAAATCTCTCCTTGGATCTTATCTTACTGGCTATCTTCAGTGCCAACTCCATCGGAATTAGGTTATCAGCACCTGATCATAGAATGAAATTTTAGATTAGTAGAAAATGTTATTAAAAAATTTATGAAAAAGATCAATGCCAAAACCAAGTCTTGTCCCACTCCCACTAGGGTGTGTTTTGAAGGAAAAACAACGATATTTCAAGTGATGTAACACAACCGTAGAACATAGTTTATAATTACTTAGAGACAATTTGTCATTCATCAAACGTGTTAAGTAGTAGTTCCATTTACATGGAGAAAAAAAAAAAGAATAGTTTTGCAGCATTTTGAGCTTAAAAGTAGAAAAATGCATTTTACAAGCTAAATACTAGTCATAGTTACGTATAGAGAAATTATGAGCAATAAGCAGATGCAGATGCAATAAGTTACATGAGTAAGCATCAATATTCTGCCAAAACCTGCATCTTTGTAAGCTGGCCAAGCAAAGGATGATCCAATAAAATATTGATTCTCGATATAAATAAAATGTTGAGCTGATCTGATCGCATGTATATAAGCTGTTTGAATACTCTTGTCTATGACCAAATTTTTTGCACAAACAAGGTTCTGCAATGAATGGCAATCAAAAAGAATTTAGTGAGATCGGGAAATCCAAAGGTTTTATGACATTTATCTAACTACAGAGCAACTCAATGTTTGGGTAATTTACCTGAGTCTCAGCTACATATACATCCTTAGGAAATCCTTTCAAAGAGCCAGAATCTATGGATCGAAAAACCTGTGGGAAACATAAAGTATAAGTAAACACATCCTCTGTTGAAAAAAAATAAATAAACAGGAGACACACTTTAAAGATAGTGAACTAGTAACCTGAACATGCCAATTTTGAGGATTGTCTTCCTTTGTAACCCATAGTTCAGGATCATCATTTGGAATTGATTCAGAAGGACTGAGAATCCAAGAGATGCGTTCTATCTTGATCAAAGAATCATCGTGCCAGTGAGACACTCTTTTAAGTTTTCGACCCAACTCAGACCATTTGGAGGCTTTTTTCCAACGCTGCTCAAAATTGGTAAGGATATCATACGCAGCAGGACCTTCAATTTTGCAATGCAAATCATGCCATGGTTGCCTTGGACCCTTGGTTCCTGACTATTATTAAAAGGGAAAGA